AAGAGATAATCTGATTATTGTGAGATTATAAGATATTTTTGTGCCAGTATCCCAGTGTTTGGATTACAGTGGCTGTGTAGTAGGTTTTGAAATCAGGAAGTGTCATACTTCCTACTTCCTCTCCCCCCTTCTTCAGTATATCTGGGTTTCTTCTCTTTCCATAGAAAGCTGGTGATTATTTTTTTTTCTTTCTCTGAAAAGTAATAACGACATCTGGATCAGGATTGCATCATATCTGTAGATTACTTTTGGTTGTATTGCATTTTCCACAATGTTAAGTCTTCTGATCCATAAACATGGTATATTTTTCTCCCCTTCAATAAGTCTCTTTTGCTATCTTGTAATAGTGTTTTGTAGTTTTCTTATTATAGGTCTTTTGTATCTCTGGTTAAATTTATTCACAATTATTTCATCTTTTTGGTGACTGTTATAAATGGCATTGTTTCCTTTAATTTCCTTTTTAGAGTTCTCTTTGCTACTGTATTGGAATTCCACTCATTTTTGTATGTTGATCTTGTATTCTGCCACTTTGTTGAGTAGGTCAATTAGATCTTGCCATTTTCTTGTGGAGGCTTTGGATTTTCCCCAATATAGGATTATATCATCTACAAATAGAGGTAGTTTTGCTTCCTCTTTGCTAGTTTGGATTTCTTTTCTTTCCTTTTCCTGCTTTATTGCTCTAACGAGGATTTCAGAGGCACTTTTTCTGGTTCCCATTCCAAAGGGGAATGCCTTTGTTGAGGTTAGCTTGTAAAAGGGAAAAATTCCTTAAAGTTGTGTTTCACAAACAGACAAAAACACCTGACCAGAAAACAAACTAAAAGACATTGCTGTTGTTGTTGCTAGGTGCTGTCAAGTCGACTATGACTCATAACAGCCCTATGTACAGCCCACCTGAACCCTGCCCTATCCTAACATTAGTTTCAGTTTATTAGCAATAAAACCCTTTACTGACCCACGCAAGTAGTACTGCAAGGATCTGGGAGCCGCTGTCTGGATCAGTAGAAAGAGTAACTATCTTATAGCTTTATGTAAGTAATAACTCAAAACATAATTAGTTTAAAGATTTCATGTTGTTATTGTCCTTGTTAGGTGCCATCAAGTTGAGTACGACCATACCAACCCTATGAACAATAGATCTGAACCCTGCCTTATCCTGTGCCAATCTCATCATCTCAGACATACTCGAGCCCATTGCAGCAGTCACTGTGTCTTAATCATTTGGATTGGCACATGGTCTCTCTTTTGCTGACCCTCTTTGTCTTCTGCAATGAGAACCTCAAGTCCTTCTCACTTTCAGCAAGCAAGGCTGCACAATGAAGGTGGTTGGTGAGTCAGTCTTCCTCTGATCCTGATGCTACATTCTTTTTCATAGAGTGCAGCTCCCCAAATGAAGGAAATGGAACAAATGAATATTCATATCCTAGGCATTGGTACATAAGGAGAGACAGGTCCTTGGAGAGGGACATCATGCTTGGTAGGGCAGAGGGACAGCGCAGGAGGGGAAGACCCTCTATGAGGTGGATTGATTCAGTGACTGGGGTAATCGGGATGGGTGTGTCAGAGGCAATGCGGTTGCCACAGGATAGAGCAGGGTTTAGGGCTATTGTACATAGGGTCACTATGAGTCGCAGGCGACTCAACGGCACATAACAACAACAACAACAACAACAACAACTCTTTTTATATACTTTATCAGGATGCTCCAAAGCTTTTCTTCTTCTGAAATAATTTTTTTATTCTATATTTTGCTTTATCTTTTTTGTTCTACCTTATTCTGTTATTTTGACTGGCTTAAAGTTATATGTTGCCTCCTAGACATTATGGTGGTGTTGTTTTTGTGGGTGGAGAGAAGATGTCTGGTCTGGGAATGTCTGTTGAGGAGTAGGGCATCCTACAGAGTTTCTGCTAGTCTCAGATGAACCTCAGATAATTGGCCAGTCTAGGGACTGTGCCTTTACCAGTCTACTGGCTGGGTCTTGGCAGGGCCTCTACTCAGAGATTGTTAACATAACGTGATAGTCACTGCTAGCCTGAAATCTTTAAGGATGGTGTACTCAGTAAGGGGTACACTGCTCCAAGTATGGCAATGGTGTATGCTGGGTAATGGTATCCCATGAAAGGCAAGTACCCCACGCAGAGGTAGTGTCCCACTAATCCTGGGGATGGTTGAAGTCATGACATAAAAAACCCCACCAGTTCCTGGTGATGGTGAGTGTAGAGTTGTGCATGCTCCTGGTGTCAGATAAAAAATGGCATAAGCCTGGCATCAGGTGGAGCCAGGATGGGCCAGGGAACGCCACCATTGCCTCCTACAGGTGAAAATCACTACCTTGATCTCTGAAAGAGCACCAGGGAGAATGAGAGATTGCACATTTTCTTTTGTCACCTGCGTCTGTTATGTATATGGTTATTGATTTGAGTTCCAAGTAAACAACTGTTCAAAAATGGTTGAATTTCACTGTTATTAAAATCTCTTATCCTATGTCTTACTTCAGCTTTTTCCTTTCGAAGCTCAGAATTCCAGAATTATACTTGTTTTCTAGTGTCTGCTAAAGAGGGCCTGAATTCCTATCTGTCTACTCTGTCATCTTACCCAGAAATCCCAAGATTAAATCTTTGACAGCTTCAATGTTTTCTCTATTCATTGTAATGTTATTTATTGGTTCTGTTGTGAGCAGTTTCATTTTCTTAAGTTGAAATGTAATATATATTAAAAGCTAGAGTCCTGAAACTTCATCAGTAAGTGCTTCAAGTCTTCATTTTCAGCCAGCAAGATTGTGTCATCTATACATCACTGGTTGCTAATAAGTCTTCATCCGATCCTGATGTCACATTCTTTTTCAAAGAATATTAAAAGAATATATAATCACTGTATCAGAAAGAATTGGCCAACATACAACCATTTCAGGAAGTAGCACATGGTCAAGAACTAATAATGTTGAAGGAAGAAATTAAAGCTGTACTGTGTTTCAGAAAAAAAAAAAGGTCCTGGAAGTTGATGAATACCAATTAAAGTGTTTCAGCAAACAGATGCAACCCTGGATATACTCACTAGTGTATGCCAACTTGGCTACTTAGTCAACTGACTTGAAGACATCCATATTTGAGCCCATTAAAAAAAAAATGCAACGAAGAATAGACAATATCAAATAATATCGTGCACAAATAAATATTGATGAAGAAAATTAAAACACTATTGCATTGTACATTGAGAAAGACCTGGCAAAAATTCCAGCCAGATTTGAAAGAGATATAGAATACTGATATCAAATGGATCTTGGCCGAAAGTAAAGACTAACAGAAAGATGTTTAGTTGTGTTTTATTGACTACGCAAAAGCATTCAACTCTGTGTACAATAACTAATTATAGACAACATTGCAAAAAACATATATTACAAAATTCCTAATTGGATTCATGTGGAACCTACGCATATCCGAGCAATTGTTTGACTAGAACAAAGGGAAAATGTGGTTTAAAATCAGGAAAGAGTGCATTAGGGTTGCATCCTTTCATCATCTTATTAAATTTGTGTGCTAGTTGAATTGGAGACATATGAAATTTAAGCTCGTGGTGGAAGTGTGAGGATGGTGCAGGATAGAACAGGGTTCAGGTCTTTTGTTCATAGGGTCTCTATGAGTTGTGCTTGACTTGATGGCACCTAATAACAACAGTAGAATATCCTTGCAAATATGGCAATTGGAGTCAGAACTAAATTAACTGAAAGTTCCAGGTCAGTTCAGAGTTAAAAATAAAATTTGTGAGTGGACACCATGTTTAGAAGGGTGGAGTGACAGTACAAAGGAGGAAGACCCTGGATGAAGTAGATTGACTCAGTGACTGTGGTAAGAGATGTAGGTGTGTCAGAGACAATGAGGTTATTTCAAGATAGAGCAGGGTTCAGAGCTGTTGTACATAGGGCTGCTAGGAGTCTCAAGAAACTTGATGGCACAAAACAACAATAATGAAGCCACAACTTGATCGTTTTAATAAACAGAATAGTTATTCTCTCACATTTTAGGAGTCAGGATGTTAAAATTTAAATTCTAGAAGGCTCTCTGTTGGTTATGGAGAAAAGTTCTTTTTCTCCTTTCAGCATCCATAAACCTGGAATTCCTTGGAGATCTTTTATGTCTTGGCATGACTCTCTTCCTGGATCTAGATAGGGCCACTATGCAGGAACTCTGGCTCCAAAGGCTGTACTCCACTCCTGACTCCTCTTTCTTGGTAGTACTGAGGTTCCCTCCCCACCCTCCTCGACCTCACTTTTCTCTCATCTCTCTTCTAAGAAGGTGATACAGGCTACAGTGAAGGAAACTCTCAAGTCAGATCAAAGTTGAGTCAGGACTACAGAGAAAATTAAAACAGGAACACTGAATGTTTAGGAGGAAGCATAGTTATTAAATCCATGTTTTTCTGTCCTTAGAGACCCCAGATAACCATAATAAGCTGAACTCAGGTGCAATATTAACAAGTACTAGGACTGGTTTTGCTTCATAGTGGTTGTTACAAAACTGTTAATAGATGCTTACAACTGGATTTTATACGCAAGAAATGCTGTAATTTTCACTCTGTCAGAAATGTGCTTTATGTAAGTATTTTTCATCCTTTGTTGAGGTATAAAATGCTTGAAGAAACCATAATCTTAAGTTTGTGAACACTATTATTTACTAAAACTTCATGCTTTCGGTAATTGCCTGTCTTTAGAAAAGAGAGTTCCAAAGAACATAGTATCCATGCTCAAGGGAATTGACTTCACATAGATTCCTATTTCATGCAAGAGAAAAATACTCTGCCCTTAAGAAAGATGACAACTTTCTGACTCGATGCCCTCCTCCAAAATGGCTGCCTTAATAGTAGTGACCTCGTAAGCCTGGTGCCTCTTCCGGGCTTGGCAGGGGGGCGGAGTCCATTGAGGAAACCTTGCGTGCCAGCGCCCGCGACGGAGGCGCGCTTTAAGGCGCAGGCGCGGGGAGGGGTTGGGGGAGGAGGGAAAGCGGCTAGTAAGATGGAAGATGAGGAGGTCGCTGAGAGCTGGGAGGAGGCGGCAGACAGCGGGGTAAGGTGGAGCCGCCGCCCCGGGGCCGGGCCGGGCGGGACCTGGCGTGAGGGAAGCCTCCGGGGAGCGGGTCTGGGGATGGCTCTCCCCGAGGAAGGGCCCCACACGTCGGGCCCGGGGTGAAGGAGAGGCCCCCAGTCCCAGGGCGCCGTGAAGGCCTCTTAAAGGGGCCGCGTTCTATTTCTTCCTCCACCTTTGCCCTGTGCACCTTCCTCTGCCCCCCCATGTGCGCTTAATCCTGAGAGCCCCACCCGCCGCCCAGACCCTCTTTTCCTGACCCTTGCGCCCGTTTGCTGGTCCCAGGCTCCTTTCAGCCATCCTTTCCTGTCATGCCCCCCCGCCCGAGGCACCATTTTAAAGTTCATGTGCTCTGGTGAGGAGGAATATGTGTGTGGGGTGGTAGGGGTTTGCGTGGACCGGGGCGACACGTCCGGCTCTGGAGAGGGGCAGGAAGGCAGCTGAAAGCAGGAGGGGAAATTGAATCCTTTTAGGAGGCTACTCAGCTCTTTGCTAAAAATCCCCTAGTACTTTGCGTCCTCCTCTGTAGTGGGCGAGTCTGGGAGTTTTTACTTTCCACTTGCAGGCAAGTCTCTGGGGCGGCCCCCCGACAGAACTACGAAGCCTTAGCTAGGGGAGTCCCTATCCCCGGGGACGCACCCAAAGCTCTGAACCCCCAGGGAGGGTCTCAGCGTGCGCTTCGGGGCGAGGGTGGGGGAAGGAGTAGGATGAGTGAAATTGTTGCTCATTTGGAAAGGCAGAGGGACAGGGACTGTACTGCTTGCTTTTGAAGATTTTGTTAGGACAGGAAAATCGTTTATCCCGAGTGATAATCCATTCCACGGGGTTCGTGGTTAAGTCGGTGCTCTCGGAGTTGGTCGTTCTCCGGGTACCGGCGAACTTGGTTTTTCGGTGCTGGCTGGCAGGTGGCTGCGTCCACCGTGAGGGGTTATGAGGGAGGACTAGCGTGGAAGGAGTTAGGTAGTGTAGGGCAGCATCTGGATTTCCCTTCCCTCTGCGCCTCTGAGGGTGCCTGGCAGCACTGGAAGAAAGACTTGGAAATTGACCCTCGCGACAGTGGGTGTCTCGGTAGCGCAATGTTGAAACTTCCGAAGTTTGTTTTTCCGCTGGCTCAGCAGTTCTCTTAAGGTGTTTTCCAGCTCAGCATTCTGCATAATTGAGAATTTGAAGGATTAGTTCGTTTCGAAGGTATTTACTAGAGTTCTGTGCCAAACTTCTTTCTTGGGTTTTGGCATGCGTAATGAGTAGTGTTACGCCTTTATGGAGAGCAACAGGTGGGATTCATTCAGCAAACATCTTTGACGGTCGGTCGACGGTGTGCTAAGGAGTGACTTTGTACGAGAGAATGCAGAATTTCAGGCAGAGTCCTTTACCACATCCCACGAATGTGGATAAATAACCAGACGCCCCTTTTGCTACCACCCCCGTCAAAAAAGCTTGCCCTGCAATTTGAATGTGACTCAGTGATAAGTCTCTTGGCTATCTTGGCTTTTCATTGTTTTTCCTTATTTATTTCCTAGAAATCACGAGTTTATCGCGTTAAGGAAGAAAAGGACAGTTGTATCCAGCAGAAATTGAGTACTAGGTTTTCAGAATGGGTAAAACGCTTTGAGATCAGGCAGCCCTGGCTTGCATTGTACAACTGAGTAAAGCTCTAGATGTTTAAGATTTAGCTTGTACTAATGTTTGCCTCCCCAACCCTGATGGTATGGGCATAACTTCGAACTAAAAGGTTGACAGTTCGAATCCACCATTGGCTCCTTGGAACAAAGCTGAACAGTCTCCTCCCTTTAAGATATCTAGCTTCAAAAACCCAGTGGTGGATTGCTGGACTCAGAATTGACTCAGAGGCAGTGGATTTGGTGGTGGTTTGTTTTGTTTAATGCTTGTATAGTATTTTGTAAAATGCTTTAAAAGTGCCAGATGTAAATAAAAAAAAAAATGCCAGATGTAAAGATGAAACCCAATCCTTGTCTCATTGACATTATGAGCAGTACTGCTAAAATTTCAGTTCTTATCCAATAAAAGGAGCCCTGGTGATGCCATGATTAAAGCAGTCTTCTGGACTGGTAGTTCAAACCACCCAGTAAGGAGAAAGATGTGGCAGATCCTTCTATAAAGATTACAGTTTTGGAAAACCTATGGGGCAGTTTTGCTCTGTCTTATAGGGTCACTATGAGCCAAAATTGACAATGAGTTTTCGTTTAGTTTGTTGTTTTATATTTAATAAATTCCTTGAAACAACATGTGAGGATCTTACTGTCCTTTTGTAGAGAAACTAAAGTTTAGAGCGTAGACTTGCTCAAGTCACACACATAGTAACTGGAGAAGATGGAGTTTGACTCAGAGTTAGGATCCTGTGGAAGGCTTGGGTGTTGGGGCACTTTTAGTAAGTTTACTTTGGGCTTCTCTTGAAGCTATTAAGATAGCTGGGATTTGATCCCATTTTAGAATTTGACAGAAGGATCTTGTAATGTGCACTTTGAAGGGAATAAAGCACTGACCGCAACAAGTAATTATATACATCATTCAGATGGAGCCACTTGCATATGTAAAATTCTTAGCTTCAGATTACAGCTGTGACTCCCAGCTGGTATAAGGTTATGAGTGTTGAATGTCAAAACGACAACTACAAATAAACTGAGAGAAAACTAGCAAATGAACAAACTCCAGATAATGCAGAAACAGTTCTAATTCTTGAAATCTGTGTTCTCCAATTGAAAAAAAAAAATACTGGCCAGAATTTCTTTTCAGGACATCTGAAGTCATTGTTTCTAATAAGCTTCAGAATAGTCAGTACCAACTGTAGTAGATCATTCAAGGGAAGAGTGACTTTGAGAAACACCTCAAACATATTGTAAATAGACCTTTTTAAAAAAACTTTATTATTAATGTCAATGAAAATTTACAGAGACTTGGATTTCCATTCACTCATTGTTGCACTTTTCTCCCCTTCCTCCCCTCCCCCCTAGTACACTACTACCCTCTTGGAAAAGTAAAAGAAAACTTCCTTCATTGTTTACAGTCCCTCCCCTCAGGTCCACTCTACTATGCAGCCTTTGCTCTGAACTCCTCTCATGACAAAAATACCTAATCACATATCCCTTTTAAACTCTTTTCTCCCTCATCTGTTTCAATGCAGTATACATGATTGAACCCATCTTTCTCAGAATGGACCTTTTTTTTTTTAAAGTTAGTGTGGTGAACACATGCAATGCTTTCAAAGCAGTTTAAACTTCATCACTATTGGTTCCTGATCTTATGCTACTTCCTGAAATGGGCCTGTGTCAGCCAGTTCTTTTTGGCACAGTGACTGTCTGTATTCCCTTCCATCTTCTTTTGATGCTTACAGGAAAGTTCAAGATTTTACCCATAGAACATTTAACTGTGCTCATGCAAAACCTGTACTTTGGTCAAGAAGCTGTTGTCCAAATGGAGCAAGGGAACACTGCATAGTTTAAAATCAAGAATGGTATATGTCAGGGCTGTATTCTTTTCCCATGTCTATTCAGTCCACATGACACAGCAGATCATTGGAGAGGCTGAAATTTATGAAGAAGAATGTGACATCAGGAGTGGAGGAAGATACATCAACACCTTGCATTAGGCAAGTGACAGAACTTCTACTGAAAGCAGAGAGCACTTGAAATGGTGGTTCCAAGAAGATTAAAGATTTTTAAAGATGGATTACATCTCATCAAGAAGACAAAAATCCAGCAATGAAGGAATGAAAACCCAAAATCCCTGTAAATGTTCATTAAAACTAAGAAAATTTAATTAATAAAAAAAAAGAAGACAAAAATCCTCACCAGTGGGTCAATAGGCAATACCACAGTAAATAGAGGAAAGATTAAAATTATTAACATTTTCTCTTGCTTGAATCCACAATCAACAACATTGGGACCAGCACTCAAGAAATAAAAAGTTGTATTGCATTGGGAAAATCTCTTGTCAAGGAGCAGTGATGTCCGTTTTAAAGACTTAAGGTAAATCTGATTCAAGCCATGATCTTTTCAGTAACTTGTTAGGCATCTGAAAATTGGACAGTGACTAAGGATGACAAGAAGAATTTATGCCTTTGAGTTATGATGTTGGAGGAGAGGACTGAATATCTCATGGACTGTCAAAAGAACAATCAAATATGTCTTGAAGAAAGTGCAACCAGAGTGCTCTTTAGAGACAAGGGTGGTGAAGTTTCATCTCACATACTTTGACTTTAGGTATGTTATTAGGAGGGTTTGATTTTTGGAAAAGGTCGTCATGCTTGGAAAGGTGGGAAATCCACATAAGAAAGGAAGACCCTCATGAGATAGATTGACTCAGTGACTGTAACAGTGGTCTCAAGTGGTGGTGATTATGGCTCGGGATAGGATAAAGTATACTATCTTGGGAGAAATAAAAATGTAAAATTGTTAATGTTGATCTAAACTCTAAATTATATGCTTAGTCTTAAATCTCAAGGGATAAGTAGACCATTTTACACTGGGACAGACATTGTTTACTAAGAAAAAAAGTCAGGTTAACAGATCAAATTCTAATGGCTTGAAACTAGTTTATGTTCATTGTTGTTGTTTGCCTTTGAGTTGAACAGCAAACCTATGAACAAAAGACCTGATGACCCTCTACAACATTTATCAAAGTTCTTAGAGTTTCCAGAGGCGTGTTGTTTAGGAAGGGGATGTCACTCCTGTTTAGATATCTATACGTGTATAGCTTAGATACGTATATGTGTATAGCTTAGTCCAGTGGCTTGATATGCACTAACCTACTCTAGAAAAAACCAGATGATACATAAATGGAAGAGGTGGTGGTTTTCTGGTTCATAGTGACCCTGTAGAATCTCATACAACTGCCCCCTTGATGCTTCCTAGACTTTAGTCATGAAGGAAACACATTGTCAGGTCTTTTCTCTCTTGTAGCCGCTGGGTACATTTGAGCTTTTGATTAGAAGCTGAGTGCTAGAAGTAGATGTAGTTATAAGG